TGCCAAGGGGTATCCCTGGCTGCACGGCTCCTAGGGGGCACGGATGTGACAATGGGGAGGGACCTTGGGTCTGTGCATTAGCCAGCTCTGTCACTGGGACAGTGACCGACAGCTCTGACACCTGGGTCACTGCTCATGGGACTGTGCCCTCCTTCGGGCTGGGATTAGCTGTCTCTCTCCAGGTTTGTTTAAGCTGCTTGGCCATGGTGGAGGTTTAGTTCAGCTTAAGACGAGATGGCGAAATCCCTAATCCACTTAAGGCAGACAATCCATCGGCAGGTGTGTGAGGGTGTTGCGTCAGCCCCAGGCCTGTGTGCCTACTCCAGTCTCTGCTTCTGGAGGGTCTCCATCCAGGGAGTGACTACCCGGTAGAGGAGTGCCACATGAAGGAGCAATGTGTACTCCCACTTGAAGTGGCATCATGCCACCCAGGGCTGGGGCAGGGTACCCGAAGAAGACACAGGGCATGCAATCCAGCACGCGGGAGGCACTGGGAGGGTCTGAGGAGCAGGTGCACCCAGATGAGCTGGATCCTGGGCAGGAGGCTCAGGCAGAGGGACTTGCCATGACAAGGGGCATCTCACACTCTGCACAGCTTGGCCTGGGCAGTCTGAAGGGCACCTGAGGCTGAAGCCTACACCTTGAGCACTCCAGGAGCCCTTGGAGCCCCTGCCCCACATGGCTCCAGGCAGGGAAGGGGCTGCTACGGGAAGGGTGGCGATTTCTAGAAACTGCCTCATAGCCTCCATGAGCACTCAGTTTGGATGCCAGGTGTCTGCCTCCTGACCTTGGTATCTACAGCCACTTGCTAGCACTGCTGCTCCAACTCTGGGGGAGCTGCTGGGAGCCCCTCCCTCATGCAACCTTGCCACCCAGGACACACTTGACATGGTGCCTAGGGGCCAATGGTCCCCCTGACAGCGCCCTCACCCAGGCCTCCTGGCCACGCCTGCCATGTGCTCTGCTCGGGTCCTTTCTTTGCCGGCCAGATTTGCACATTTGTCTCTGTCAGCTAGCACAGTGTCCCCACCCCCACCGCTAGTCCTGGGCTGTCCCCACGGGAACTGCCCTCCTGCTTCGCCATGCACACTCCGGTCCCTGGCAGTTTTCCAACAGCTAGTCCCCCACAAGGAGGGAGCGGGTTTCATTATTGATGCAAAGCATAGATGCAGAGACATTTAGCTCCACAGAGCCACCATGTGACAGCCACTTGGGGACTGCACCATCATCATGCTGGGCCAGCGGTAAGTCATGATCAGCAGCTGCTCTGGGCTCCTGGATCCTGGGCCACTGCTAAGGTCACTGGGGCTGGGCAATGCCAGGGACCTCTCCTCGCCTTCTGACCCCAGGAGCTCATGCTGAGCTATATCCCACTGAGGACTGAATGAAGCAACCCCCTGCAGTGCTCTGGGTACCTGACGGGCAGGAGACAGCATCCATTGGGATCATTGGACTAGTTCGTGTCTGCTGTAGCCACAGAGAGCATGGGATGTTGGGGTGACTTAATCTGGGAACCAAGGGCAGAATGGGTCACCAGTGATAGCAGGTGCAGCAGCCAGCGTGTGGCATGGGTCACGGGCACTGGGGCACGTGTGGGGAGGTTGGTTCCCCCACTCAGGAACACAAGAACAGCCACACCCTCTGCTCCATGATGAGCAGTTGGGACAAACAGGGGAGAGACTACCTGTGAGGGTGGGGGGCTTGTGGCTCACCCACAAGAGCCACAGGGGCCAGGGAGAAGGGACATATGGTTCCACATAAGGACTCTGGGAATTGGCGCGATGGTTAAGCCTCCCTCACCAGCTGCTTTGAGTCCCAGCTACTACACTTCTTATGCAGCTCCCTATTAATGCACCTGGAAAAGCAGTAGAGGATGGACTGAGTGCTTGGGTCCCCGCACTCATGTGGCAGACCTGGCAAGGCCAAGTGTGCCCAGTGGGATGCTGCAGAGGAGAGCTGTTCTCCACATGCAGCCAAGGCTTGGTCAGCTGTGTGCCGCCGTGATCCCCAGACTCCAAGACAATGTTGAGTGTGTTTACGGAGCAGGACTTTCCCTGGGGAGGGCGGGCTGCACGGGTCACTGTCCCGAAGCCATCCACAAACACACGAGGGACAGATCCACAGACAAGCATGATGGGTGGCCTGCGTTTGTGTCTGACATTCCCAAGGCCCGCCTTCTGTGGATCGACTGTGGGACCTGACCTGGACTCAGGAGGGCTGGCTGCCGATTCCACCTGCGGCCTGGGGGAGGGGATGAATGGATATGGCAGTGGGGTTTAGGGGGGACCAGCCTGTTCAGACACAGCCGACGGCCGCCTCTGCCTGCCGGGAACAGGGAGAAGCTGTAACTCATGTCTGGTAGTGTAAATCTGTCCTCTGCAGGCTGACAGGTGCACAGACAGTGGGAAGCTGTGCACTCTGGTTCTGCTACTCCTCGGTCCCCCACCCCCCATCGGGCAGCGGGTGGCCCCAGGAGACAACCTGGGGTGGGGGTGGGGTCGAGAGAGTTCACAGCCTCTGGAGTAGCCCAAACCGACAGGGGAAGTGGAAATTGCTCCTTTTAATAAAGCAAGGAAAATTAGCTTCTTGGGGCCTGAGACAGGAGGGGGAGGGAGCAGGGAAACCACATAGAAATCCAGGGGACAGGAAGGCCTGTCTAGCCGGGTGTGGCTGGCACAGCAAAGGGACAGGGGAAGTCAGAAGGCGCTGACCCCTGCTCAGGGCCCAGAGGAGGGCACGCAGGCTGGGCAGTCACCCCCAGAGGGGTCTGCATACAAGCAGCCTGGGTTCCCAGCCCTTTGAGAATGATCATAGGCAGCCCCCTGGCAAGCCCAGGCTCTTAGGGACCAAGGCCACCAAACATGTCTCAGGTAAAAGCTAGATCCCAGGCCCCATGGAACAGGTGCTGCTTGGTGGCACCTGATGCCCTGTGTGCCCAGCTCCTGGCCTCCCCAGGAATACCAAGACTGCCAGGCCATTCATGGGCCCAGCCCCAGCCCAGGCTGCCACCTCTCTGCAGCCCTAGGGAGGGAGGCCGCAAGCATAAGCCCACCTCCCCAGCCGTCCTCCAGTCTGTCCCCAGTCTACATACAGGTGTCCTCCCAAGCCTTCCAGCTTGAGGAATGCAAGTAACAACCTTGACCCTGAGTGGGGCCCATGCTGCCTGGAGGAATAGCAGGTGCGTTCCCATGACTCCAAGGTCAAGTGCAGCAATGCCCACAGACCCCTCACCTGCCACCCTAGGTGGTACCCAATGCACAAAAGTCCATGGCCAAGGTCAACCGGCAATCACCCCTGGGCTTCTGGCCTGGTGGCAGCAGATCCAAGCAGGAGCAGGACCCCAACCAAGCTCTGGGAATACAGATGCAGACAGGGAGACACACGGATGGGCACCCCGGGGCTTCCGTCCCCGCTCCATGATTTAAACCTGTTAAGTGCTCAACTGAAAATGGCTCTCATCAACACCCCATCCCCATTCCGAGCTGTGTGGGAAGGGAGAATGAAGCCCACCCGCATGACAGTGGCTTCCAGGTCACCATGTCACAGGGAGGGCCTTGACAGCAGGTGCGCCCATGCCCATTCCCCACTCAAAAGGAGACCTTAGAGAGCGTGGGCTGCTGTGCTGTGCTCATCCACTCCTCCAGCCACAAGCACCTGGCTGGGCGGCACAAGGCAGGCATGCTGTGTGCTGCCCTCACCACGGCATCCTGAGCTGGGGGCCATGCAGTGTGGACTGACTGTGCAGTGTGGACCCCAGGCTGCAGTCTCCTGCCACCCCAGGCAGCAGGGGCCATGGGCGGGGGCGCAGGCACTCCCTCCCTCTCCCAATCCCAGAGCCCCATCTGGCAAAGCAACTGGGAACCCTTGGGTGACACACGATGACGCTGTGCCTTGGGCCAGTGGCGGAGATCAGCCTGGAAGTCAGGAACGCCTTGTTCCCCCTCCCCCACCCAGCCAATGGCAACAGTGCACGTGCAACAGGTACAGATGGAAAGGAGCAGGGCTGCCCGCTCCCCTGGGGATTCCCAGAGCAGAAGGGCAGGAGAGAGCAGCAGTGGGAGTAGCTGGGAGCAGAGCGCAGCTAGAGGGCTGGGCCTGGGGACTGGGTTCGTAGACATTGGGGTGGGGAGTGGGAGACATGGGACCTCACCCAGGGCAGGGGAGGGTCAAGGCAGACAGAACAAGTGTTTCTGCCCCAGGTGCCCAGGCTGGGAGGAAAAGAACAGAAAGAGCACCTCCCAGGGACCTGCGTTCCTGTAGACTACCCCCACCCCCCACACACACACACACATTGCAAGGAGCCCAACCCAAAGCCCTGGCCAGGAGGCTCTGAGCATGGTCCCACTGAGTCTGCCCCGACCCATGGCACTGGGCTGGCAGTAGTCCCTGCTGCATTGCCCAAGCCCTAGGGAGCAGGTGGGTGGAGGGGCAGGAGCCAGACGGCTGCCACCTCCATGGTGAAGCCCACCCACCTCCACAGGGACAGTGCAAGCCAGCAGCTTCATCTGGACAAGATATCCTCCTGCCCCCTGCCGTGCCAGTCCCTGCAGGAACCCACAAATGCCATTCACAGAGTGGAAGGTGAGGCTAAGGGCAGGTGAAGACAGCAAAGATTTCTGCTTTTGACTTCGCAGAGACCTCAGTCCCGGCATCACCCTTGAAACGCTGGTCGCGGGGCCACCAGCCCAGTCCAGGGCTCTAGAACTGGGCACGATGCCCTGGGAGGGAGGGGGCCCAGGGAGGTGAGACAAAAAGGTCCCCTCTCAGGTCCCATCATGCTGCAGGCCTGAGCCCCGCCAACAGAGGCGTCCCAGTGGCCTCACCTGTTCTGGGGACTCTTGGAGACGCCAAAACGACAATACAGTGGCTTTTATTGACCCAAATTAGCAGCAAACACACGGGAGCTGGCGCCTGCGCCCGCCAGCCTGGCAGTAAAGGGGGAGGCTTCCTGGAGCAGAGCCTGGGGCGGGGGAGGGTCCCAGTGTCTCTCCCTTGTGCTCCCTGAGGTGAGGACCAGCAGGGGGCCAGCTCCCAGAAGCGCTGAGGTGGTAGTGGCTCCAGGGAGGGCCCGGTACCAGGGCTGCATGCCTGCCCGGTAGCCGGCAGGAGGCGAGTCGTGCGGGGCAATGGGGACGTGCAGGTGGGCTGGTAGGCAGGTGGGCCAGTGGCCAGGCTCACCACACGGAGCACTTATGGACGGGGTTCATGGGCGAGTCCTTAGGACAGTGGAAAGCCCGGCCAAACTCCTCAAACTGGGACACACTGCCCAGGACCCTAGCGGGGAGGGAGAAACCCCCACAGTGTAGGGTCCCAGCAGCCAAGGTTGGCTTCCAGCCCTGCCCACCTGTCCTGCTCCCCATCCCCACCACTACCCCAGGTGCAGAAGGGGCCGGTGCCCAGGTCAGCAGGTGGGCATACCTGTAGTGCTCAGGGGCGTGCTTGTCGGTCAGCACCTGCAGGTAGATGGACTGCGACCGGCGCTTGATGCACCAGTTCTGGGCCCGGACCAGGCGGCGGAGCGGAGGGAGACGAAACAGGAGTCCACAACTCAGCTCCCCATCCCAAAAGCCAGAGCCTGCGGGGCCGGCCCCCTTGCAGGCCAGGCCTGCTCACTGCCCTCCCTCCAACCCCCGCTGCGGCCCCCACCCTCACCCACCTGGGCAAAGGCGATGAAGAAGAGCTGGTTGTGCGTGTACTTGAGCCGGTGCAGCGGGTGCTCCGGGCCGTGTTCCCGCACCCACTTCTGGTAAGCCTGGGGGCGCAGGGTGCAGAGTGCTAAGCCCACCCTGCCTTGCATGCTGGCTCCTCTCCATAACCCCATCAGACTCTAATGTGCCTCTGCAGCTCCTCCACCCTGCACATCACCCACTGCGCTGCCACCCCCTCCAGGCAGCCTTCCAAGTTACTCTGCTGGGCAAAGGCAAGGCTTGTGGATCCTCCTTTTTCTGCTGGGCCCTGTGCCCAGCAAGCTCCCCTGCCATGCCTCTGCCTCAGCTCAGCAGGGACGGCCACGCCCTTAGTCTGGGGTCCTCTTCAGTGCTGCCCACCCCACCCCCCACAAGCAGGGAGGCTCACGTAGTAGGCCAGCTTGAGGCCACCCATGTCCGCGATGTTCTCCCCCAACGTGTGTTTCCCGTTCACCTGGAACCAAGGACGAGGCTAGGGGAGGCTGTGGCCTGGCTGGCCTCCCTCAGGCCTGGCTACCCTGGGGCCCTCCCTTCCCTTCCCTCCCGCATGGGGGCAGGGGCCCGAGTCCACTGGGACACACGTGGGTGTCTCGCTCTCAGCCGGTGCGGTGAGGTGCAGGTGGAGGACTAGGGCCTCACCCGCTGGTTGTACACAGTGAAGTTGTCGTAGAGGCGGACGATGCACTCGGCCTTGCGCAGAAAGCGGCTGTAGGAGGCCTCGGTCCACCAATGCAGCAAGTTCCCTGTGCGGTCGTACTGGCCTCCTGTGCACACACACGCATGCGCAGGCCGGGCAGCAGGATGCTCAGGCCCTCGCTGCCCCGCCCACCTGCCCCACCTCCCTGGGGCCAGCCAGGGCCTCACCCCAGTCATCATAGCCATGGGTCAGCTCGTGTCCAATGATGGTGCCGATGCCGCCGTAATTCAGAGACCTAGAGGTGTGGCCAGAGTGTCAAGGGACCTCAGCATTTCCAGGGGCATGTGTCCGGAGAGAAGTGGGGACACCCACGGGGGCTGGGGACCTGCTCTGCTTCCTCGTTGCAAGTTCTGAAAACCCCAAACTGCTCACTTTTCTAAATATCCAAGAACAAGGCCAGACTCCAGGGACCCGGAGTGTGCAGCTTTCACAATCCCGCCCAGTTCTGCCCAACCCCTGCCTTCCCCAGACAAGGCCAGTTCACCCCTCAGCTGGCTGGGTCCCCTACTCACTGTGGGAAATCCGGGTCATACAGCGTGGGCTGCAGGATGCCCGCCGGGAATACTGTGGAGAGGGCATGGTCAGGGAAGGACTGCCCACTTGTGGGCACCACCCCTTCTGGAGCAAGACTTACCCATCTGGTTCTTATTGGGCAAATAGTAGGCATTGAGTGCCTGAGGGGGCAGCAGCCACCTGTGGAGGGAGCACGCGGTCAGTGGAGCACCCCACACTCCCTGTGATGCCCCATAGCTGCCCATCTGCTACCTCTCCCCACTCCCCACAGCCAGGCACCCACGTGGACTTATCCACCTCCTGCCGAATCTTCTTGACCGACAGCTGGATGCTGAAGCGGATGCTGTTTAATATGTTCTTGAAGTAGGTTTTCTCATGAACCTCAAACTGCAGGGGTGGGGGAGGCACAGGAATGGGCCTGGATGTGGCAGTTAACATAGAGCTCAGGCCACCCACAACCCGAGCCGGAGCTGGCATCTGGCTCCACTCTGGTTACAGCTTCCTGCTAATGTGCACGCTGAGAGGTGCCAGTACAAGTGGATGGGCCCCTGCCACCCGCGTGGGAGACCGGGGTCTGGGCTAGGGCCCTGGGGGAGCCTGGGTGGGCAAGGAGGGGCAGGGAACCCACCTCATACTCCTTGTCCACAGCCTCAGGTTTAAGCAAGAAGTCTGGGTAGCCGACCATCACCATCATGTACTGGAGCTGCAGGGCACAGGGTAGGTGAGAGCGGCCAGGGCCTGGGCCAGGCAGTGCCCTGCCACCGAGGACAGGCAGAGAGAAGCAGGTGATGCTGACTGCGCACGGGGCATCTTGTCTGTTTTGTTCTCCTGCTTGTGGCACTGGAGAAATGTACAAAACCAAAAAAAATGGGACCCAGGCCGCAGCTCACCTTGGCCCGGGCAGCTGCCTTGGTCTCAGCATCCATCCAGTCCAGCTCCTCCAGGCGCTGGCCCAAGATGTACTTGATGTCTTCCACCAGCTGCTGCACCTGCCAGGTCAGTGGTAAAGGATCAAAGATCTGCTTTAGGTGTGGATTCTCAGCCCTTAAAGAGGCTGAGCCCTGGACCCCCACCTACTGTGGATCCACTAGCTCCCCATCCTTGGACCATGACCACAAGAGGGCACCACACTGAGCTCTGTACCTGCACCCCCCCACGCTCAACCCCAGGCTGGCCCGACCTTGGCTTTACTGGCAGCTGAGAAGTGCTCATGGACAAACAGGGCGCCAAGTGCCATGCCAAAGTGGCGGTTGGCCTGGCCCAGGCACACGCGGGCCAGCTCCTGGGGCTTGTCGCTGCCCTCCATCTCCCGGGCCAGCTCGTGAAGTGCCTCACGGAAAGGGGAAGACAAGTGCTCGCTCAGGACGACCACCACTCGCCACACCAGGTAGTTGTGCATGATCCTGGGGGCCGACAGAGCAGAAACAGGGTGTAGACCCCAGGGCACCAACCACCCCACCCCGTGCTGGACCCAGCACCCACAGAGGAAGTGCACAAAGTCATGTTCATATGTGAAGGTCAGTTCTGAAGCATCCTGTTCCCAGATCACACTCAGTGGGCTCTGCCCGGGTGAGGAAGCCCACAGCCCCGCCCAGTGTCCCACAGGACCAGGACTCCCGTGCTTCCTCCCACCTCCTTCACTGAGGCTCCCTCATGGAGGCAGAGGTGGAAGTTTAAAACTCAGTTAGCAGCTAGCGCCAGGTGCACGGAAAGGGGGCTGCACAGCGTACCTGCGGGGTGTGGAGCGGATGAGCTGTGACACCTGCTGCATGTAGTCCGTGGCCAGCAGCACCACCTCCTCATCCTCGGAGAAGTCCTCCTGGAAGATCTGGTCCAGCAACCACTTCCACCGCAGCTGTGGGGCCGGGAGGACGGTGGGGGGTGGGGGGCGATCAGTGAGGGCGTGTGGGAGCCCAGGGCCCAACTCTGGGGTGAGATGGGGAGCCACTCACGTGGGGGGTGATCTTCTGCAGCTGGCCCAGCGTCACTTTGCTATACACGGAGCTGACGTCTCTGCGGAGGTCATCATACTCGGACACTGTGATCTGCCAGTAGATGGTACAGCTGACGCCCCATTCTGCCCGCGCCAGCCCCCAGAGGCCCCCCACCTCCCAGCGCCCAGTCTGGCTCACGTTGGCCAAACGCTGCTCCAGCTGCAGGATCTCTTGCGCCTTCTGCTCCACGTGCTCTGCGCCCAGCAGGCGGAGCAGGCGCTCCATGAACACCCTGTAGGCCGCCAGCACCTGCAGCCGCACAGAGCCCCACTCAGCGGGGACGCCCGCCAAGGCCCGCAGCCCCAGGCCTCCCCTGCACCCCAGGCGGCGCGAGCCCCACCTTCTCACTCTCCTCATCCTGAGCCAAGTACAGGGTCCTCTCCGGCAGGGTGAGCCCGTCCTGGTCAATCTGGGGGCAGCAGAGGCCAGAGGTCACCCGGACAGATCCAATCACCCCCACCCAGATGCCTCGAGGGAGAGTGGGCGCGCCAGCCATCACTGTCACTAACCCCTCGAGCGCACAGACCTCAGCTCTCCCTCCTTCCAGAGCAGCTGCACAAAGCCTCCCTCTTTAGTGGTTCTGAGTGGGACTGCAGGGGTGCCTGCCATTCCCCCTCTCCCCATCCTCTCCTGTAAGCCTCGTTTTCCTAGCCAGAGGCATTCGCAAGCCTTTGCGAAAATGGGGGGCTCCAAGCTTCGGAGGCAGCCCCCCACCCCCGGCCACTCCTCGGCGCGCGCGCTCCCCGCCGTCTGCCCCAGGCTGGGAAACTGCGGCTGCCGCGGCTCCACCGAACACACAGCACCGCCGCCTCACGCGCCCCGTCCGTGTGCTCCCCTGAGCCCGAGCCGCTTAGGTGCGCGCCCCGGGGTCCCCACGGCCGCACTCACGCGGATGACGTAGCGCGAGGAGTTTCTGTCGTCCAGGCTGACCGTGAGCGAGAAGAGCGCGGCCGCACTGTACACGCCCTGCGCCTTGTACAGCAGCCGGTTCAGGTCCCAGCGCGCTGCAGTCCCTGGGCGCTCAGCCGCGCCGCCCACGTCCCAGCCCCCGCAGTCCTCGATGACCTCGAGCATGGGCCGGGGCCCGAGCCGCTCGATTTCGCGCATGTCGAGACAAGAACGGAAGAAGGCGCGCACCTTGCGCTGGGCCGCGCCGCCCGGCCCGCCCGCCGGCCGGGCTAGCAAGCGCCGCAGGCGCTCCTCGTTCTGCTCACCGATGGCCGCGATCGTGCCGTAGGTGAGCTTGTCGTCGGGGATGGCGTGGCGCCGCAGCCAGCCGCCGCACGCGAACGAATAGAAGTCCTGGCACGGGTCGATGCTGGCGTCCAAGTTGGCGGCCAGGAAGCGGGCGGCGCGCGCGAAGGCCTTGCGCTCTGGGCAGCCCTCGGCACAGGCGGCGCCGCCCCCGGCGCCCGGGCCCAGGTACTTGAGCGCCAGCATGGCAGCCAAAATGGCACACAGGCCGGCGGCGAACACCAGCCCCGACAGTAGGCATATCTCGCGCCGGTTCCAGCGGGGGAGCCCAGCCCGGGCTCCGGTGGCGCCGCGCCCCGCGCTCAGCGGGAAGCCGGGGGGCAGCGACGCCCCCCGTGAGCCTCCCGCGCCACAGCGGCTCACGTACTTGACCTCCTGAAACTCGTCGTAGTGCGCTGTCATCGAATATGGAGTCTCCATGGCGCCCAGATCGCCACCGAACAGGCCGAGGGGGCTACGGGAGGGGCAGAACCGTCGCGCTTCTCGAGGGCGTCCGCATGGCCCTCGGGCGTCGCCGCTGCTGGAAGGGCAGAGGCGGGTTCAGCGGGTACCCCTAACCCGACGGCGCACATTAACTGGGCGAGGGGCGGCGTGGACCCAGATCCGCGGGCTGGAGGACCCTGCTGTCCCCCAACTGCGGGCTGATCCCCTTGGGCCAGGAAGGACAATCTGTCCCTTGGACAGTCCTGGTTTTTACCCACTCGCGCTCCCTGCTGCATGGGAAACCCCTGGCAGGAGGCAGGAGGGCGGGGCGCGCGGGTGCAAGCACGCAGTAGTCCTTAACACCTCTTCTTGCTTGTCGCAGGTAGAGAAGAAAGAGCCGAGAGGAGGTGCGCTCAGGGAAGCGACTAAATGGGCCCCCAAACGGGTCTTCAGCTCTAGTCACTGGACCGGGATGCTGGCGCCCGCGGCCAAAAAAAGCAAACTTTGTCCTGGCGGAGTCCGCCGGAACCCTCCTAGTCCAATCTTCAGCTTTTTCCGCTTGGCGATCCCAAAGCCACCAGCGGCTCTGTGGAACAGCGCGCGCCCCGAGGCGCAGCGTCCGCAACACAATCCCTCCTCGCTGATCTCAACGGAAAGCCCCGCACCGGTCCCGTCGCCCAGCCCCCTCCCCACCCGGGCCGCTCCCGCCTTCAACAGGTTCTCCCCCGAACCCAAACTTGGGCGAACTTTCGCCCCTCGCGTTCAGCAAGATGGCCTGTCGCGGCCCGAACCCTGGGAACCGAGCCTGGCTCGCCACGCCGGTCCGCGCAGTCCTCGCAGCCCGAGAGCCGCTGCCAAAGCTGGAGCCGGAAGGGCGCAGACAAAGCCGGGGCGACTCGGTGCGGCGGCGTAGGTGGTAGCGGCGGCAGCGGAGGCGGACTCGGGGGGCCACTTACCCGGGAGGTGTGCACCCAAGCCGGGCGGAGAAGGAGCCGGGCGGACCAGGGCCGGAACCGCCGCGCAGCGGAGCGGGCGCGGCGCTCTCGGTGCGCCCTTCGCCTTCGCCGCCGCCGCGCCGCCCGCCGGCCCCGAGGGAGGGGGCGCGCCGGCAGCTCCACCCTCCTCCACCCGCCCCCCTCTTTCCCTGCCTCCCTCCCGGCTACCTGTCAGCTTGGCGGCGGCGCGGAGGTGGGAGCGCTGCCGCGGAGCCACGCTGCCGGGGGGCGTGCGCAGGCTTGGCGCTCGGGGACTCCCTGGATAGCCACGGTTCCGGGAGGAGCTAGCTCCACCGCAGCTCCCGGAAAAGGGATTCTAATCCTCTATTCCGGGACCCCTTACTCCGAGCTACCAACTGGACCGCCAGAAAGGGGCCTGAGCTGCGGCTCAGAAGGAGCGTGCGCCTGCAGGATGGACACTGTGGGGAAGACTCTTCCGAAGGGCGTGGGGTGGCTCGGAGTGCCCGCGTGCACCCGGCTGGGTGCCTGTTGCAAAGCCGACCTCCCTTGGGCACTCCCTTGTCCTCCTCCAGACCTCCCCCACCAAGCCCTGTCTGAGATCCTGAGGTTGGCGACGCGCCCTCCTCCGCTCCCCACCCCCACCGCCCCCAAACCCCAGGCTTCTGCTGAAGCGGGTCTGCGCAGGGGCTCAGGCTGGGCCCTCTCCCCTGCTTGGCTGGCCCTGGCACCTCTGCCCAAGGAGTCCCAGGCCCACAGAGGAAAAAGGGGGAGGTCTCCGTGCTGCAGAGGGAAAGGATGCGCCGGTTCCCCCAGCTCTCTGAGCCACACAGGCCTGGGGCTGTGGACTGCAGGGAGGTGCTGCGTAGAGGAACTCGGAACTCGGCTTTATCTGCTCTCTGCTTCCTTGGAGTTGAACTTGCCCTTGTTCTACCTCAGCACATAGTGCCGCTGTTTTGGAGTCCTTGCTTTCTCTTCCCAGCCCATCCCTGCCCACACCCTGTCCATCCTGGATCTCTAACAGCCCCCCCCCGCCCCGAAACCCTGGCATTCCCAGGCCTCCGGGCTCCAGCCTGCAGGACGTCTCTTTAGCTTGGTCGTGGCAATCATGGAATCCCTCAGAGGGAAAGCCAGGACAAGGAGGGGTATTTCCGGAGGCCTGCCCCCCCCCACTGCCCCCCCCATCCTCTCCACAGGGTCCGAGTGGCCACCTCTGTCATCACGGGGACTTCTGGCCTCCTGGCTGACCGGCTGGAAGTCTACTGAACTCCCTCCCCGCTTCTGATTCTCGGCCTCCCTCCCAAGCCGAGCCTGGGTCCTGCTCTGCCCCGCGCATCCCTCTGGTGCTCAATTAATTCTACTGGGGAGAGAGATGTCGCAGAAGGTGGCGATTCCACGAGGGGGAGGGGAGGGCAGGGCGGTGGCAAAGTGGTTCTTTTGTGCCTTTAATCTGCATTTTCTCTTCCACGTTCCTGTCTCCAGGAGGGTAATTTTCCAGCCTTTTCAGGCCCTGATTGGTATCATTTCTCCAGCAATGACAGCTTTTATTTTCCCCGAAATGAATGCCGTGAAATTTCCAAGAAATATAAAAATGGATATTGTCTCAGGGAGCCGGCTGTCTTCCGACAGCAGAGCCCAGCGGCAGACGCGTTCCCTGGGGACACCTCTGCACCAACCCCCACTAGGGGTTTGGGGACCCGGCCCTCCAGCTCTCCTCCTGGAATTTCTGCTGGCCAGGCCTCTCCTCACCCTGGAAGGACTCTGTCAGCTCCCAGCCCAGGCCGCCCTGCTTCATCTAATCATCTCCCCATTCCGCGTCTCATCCTCCAACCCAGAGAGCGGCAACCCAGGCTGGCTGGAGGGGCACCAAGATTGGGGTGTCAGTCCTGCTCCCCACTACTCAGCACGCCCGTAAAGAGGCCAGCTGGACTGTGACCCAGTGCACTGCTTGTATCCCATAAATACGCACAGCCCTTTGTCAGACAAAGTGATGGGGGCAGGCTTTTTCTTTTCTTTTTTTAAAGATGTATTTGTTTTTATTTGAAAGGCGGATTTCACAGAGGAGAGCTAGAGAGGTCTTCTGTCCACCGGTTCATTCCTCAGATGGCCACAACAGCCAAAGCTGAAAGCCAAGAGCTTCTTCCAGGTCTCTCACATGGGTACAGGAGCCCAAGAACTTGGGCCATCCTCTGCTGTTTTCCCAGGCCATAAGCAGGGAGCTGGATGGAAAATGGACTAGCTCAGACTCGAACCAACAATACAGGATGCTGGTACCACAGACTAGAGGGTTAGCCTGCTGTGTCACAGCTGCAGCCTTGGGCAGGCATTTAACCTAGCAGTTAAGACAGCTGGGCCCCACATCTTGGCAGCTGGCTTCTATCTCTAACTCTTGCTTGGAACCCCAGCTTTCTGCGGAAGCTGACCCTGGAAGCAGGGATACCTCCTGTCACCCAGGTGGGAGCCCTGCGCTGAGCTCTTGGCTTGGGGCTTCATGACTGGGGTGCTTAACCAGCTTCCTTCTTGGTTTTTGTGCCCATTCTCAAAAAGAGTAGTTGAGGCTGGGGTTAAGTGTGAAGGAGCAGGGAGAGGGGAAGGGGTCTGGCCTCCAGTTCCCTTACTCACCTTTTTATTGAGACTGCCAAAGTTCCCTACACCCTAACTACACGGCAATGCCCAGGACTGATAAGCAAGATGCCCAGATACAGCCAGCCCAGCCCCCAGGGAAGCCTTTGGGGTCTGGGGCTGGGGAGTGGGGCAGAAGCATGGGGTCGTGGCCAGGGTGTCCTCTGGCAAGAGATAGTGGAGTGTGAGGTGAAGGGGGAGGGGTCTCGTGAGCTGACCTGCCTCCCCCCGCCCCCAGGGACATATCCCAGCCACCCCATGCATGAGGCACCAGTGCTGGGTCTGGGTCCTGGGCATGGCCCTCCCTTGGGGACAGCAGTGCCCCCTCGGGTGTGCCCAGTCTGCTGAGCCTTCATTAAGTCAGACGCGTAGCTCTTCCCTGTTCTGGTGGGAACTGGGCCAGCCTGGCCAGGGGCAGCAGTCAAACCTGCCTGCTCTGCTCTGCTCTGGGCTCCCTCTGGGCGAGAAGGAGCCCCAGCTCCGGGCCAGGCAGCTGTGAGACACTCCTCCCCAGCTGCCACCCCATTCCATCTTTCCTGCCTGGAGTGCGATCCCCCACCCAGCTTGCTGCCCTCCTCTGGGCCCCCAGGGGCTATCTATTATTCAGAGTACCAAATGGATATTTAATTTGAGAAATGAAGTGACTCTCCCAAGCGGCCAGGGAGGTAGGGAGGGGTGAGGGGGATGCCAGAGTTTCCAGGCAGTCATGATGATACAGAAAAGCTGGGTGCCCCCCAAAGCCTGCACTCACCCTGTGGCTGTGACCTGTTGGGGTGGGGGCCCCATCAGTCTTGCCTAAGCACTTGGCAGTGGGATGGTTGGGGGTTCCCTGGGCTCCACTTGTTTCTGATCCCCGCACCTTGCAAGTACCTTCTGGGTCCCCTGGCCTGGCCCTTGCCTCCCCCAAACTTCCTGACCTCCGCTGTGCTGGGCTCACTGCTCTCCACACCTCCTGGCAGGGCTGCATCTCAGGTCAACTCCAGCCTCAGCTGTGACACCTCATGGAAACCGTCCCACACCCATCCAGAACACTGTGCCCCCGTGCCAGGCTGGGTGCCAGGCTGGGTGCCAGGCACACAGCCCCTCTGAGAGCCCACCCAGCTCCTGGGTCTTAAAAAAACCCACTGTGCCGGTGCTCTGGCACCCACTAGACAACAGGCAGGGGCTCCCACACTCCCCTGCGCCCCTCATTTCCACGCCCAGCCCTCCCCACTGCCACTGAAGACTCCTCTCTGGAGTTTCCTCCCAATCTTTAGATCAAGGTTGCATTTTATGTAAGAAGTGTGAGGATCATTCTTTTTTATTTTTAAGATTTATTTATTGACTTGGAAGAATTACTAAGAGGAGAGATACAGAATCTTCCACCTGCTGGTTCACTCCCAAATGGCTGCAAAGGCCACAGCCACACAGCTCTGAAGCCAGGAGTTCCTTCTGTGTCTTCCACACAGGTGCAGGGACACAAGCACTTGGGTCACCCTTTGCTGCTTTCTCAGCTAGATCAGAACCAGAGCAGCCAGGA